GGAGACCCCTGTCCTGAGCCTCTTACATCCCCACACTCCTGCATCCCCACATCCTCAGTCTTCTGCCACAACATTCCTCCACCATCCACACATCACAAATCTGTGTCCTGAGCCCATCATACTCACAACCTTCTTGCCCTGAGTCCCTCACATATCCAGCCCAAACTCCTGCACCCTCACATCCACAAGCCCATGGCTTGCTCAGCACCCCAACCTTCCACCTGAGCCCCCTCCCCAAGCCAACATCCCTTTCTCCTGCATCCAAATTCCCTCCCAGAGCTTGTACTTCTCACCCCTTCCCACACGCATATCCCTCATTCTCACCCCACACCTCCTGTCTCAACCTAGTGAGAGTGTATAAGGGCTGGGGATAGCAAGTGATGGAGAGGAGGGGAAAAGAGCTAATGAGGCCTCAAGGAAGGAAGGGGAAGTGGGGAGGTCTTGGGGAAGGAATGTGATTTTCATGCATTGGTGGGGATCCCCCCCCTTTTTTTTTGCTTGACAAACCTAGGGGTTCCTTGAAATTCTGAAAAGCTGAAAAGGGTTCCTCAGCCAAATAAAATTGGGAAACACTGTCCTAGAGTATAGATTGTAAGGCCAGAAGGGACAACTGAGACCATTTAGTCTGACCTCCTTCAGAACATGAGCCATAGATCTTCTCCCAAGTAATTCCTGTTTGAGCTAGGCAGGCACTCAGGTGCAATTTGAAGACTTCTGGAGATGGAGAAGACACCACTACTTCCCTAACTAGTTTGTCCCAATGGTTAATTGCCGTTGCAGATTAAATCTGCATTTATTTCCTAATCTGAATGGGTCTAGCTTCACCTTCTAATCGATTTTTTTTTTAAAATTTTTTAACCTTCTCCACTGGATTGTTGAGTTTGTTGGCACTTCGTATTTTCTCCCTGTCCAAGGTACTTATACACTGCAATCAAGTCACCTTTCAATCTTTTTAATGAACTAAACAGATTGCACGTTTTAAGTCTTCCACTGTAAGGCATTTTCTCTAGACCTTCAGTCATTTTTGTGAGTCTTCTCTGCACCTTCTCCAATTTCTCAACAGCCTTGTAAAAAAGTAAATATCAGAACTGTACACAGCATGTCAGTCTCCAGTTCACCAATGTCCTATACAGAGGCATAATCACCTCCATACTCCGACAAATAATTCCCTTGTTTGTATGTCCAAGAATCACACTGGACTTTTTGCCACAAAACTGCCCTGGGAGCTGATATTGAGTTCCTACTCCACTGTGACCTGTAAATCCTTTTCAGAGTAACTTCCTTCCAACATTCAGTAGATAGGATCTACATTCCTTTTCCTCATGTATAACTTCTCATCAGGCTTTATTAAAACACATTTTGTTTGAATGGGCCTTGTTTATCAAGAAATCCAGGTCACTAAATGACTTCCCTGGCCGCCTCATTATTTTCTTTCTCCTGCAACTTAACATTTCAAATGCTTCTTATATCCTTCACAGTTCCCTATTCAGAACATACATCTTGGTCAGACTTTCTGTGTATATCTCTAAACTAACTTCCCCATAGGGGGCGAGGAGTCCTGTGGCACCTTATAGACTAACTGAAGTGTAGGAGCATAAGCTTTCGTGGGCAAAGACCCACTTCGTCAGATGCATGTAGTGGAAATTTCCAGAGGCAGGAATAAATATGCAGGCCAGGATCAGGCTGGAGATGACCAGGTGGATCCAATCAAGGAGGATGAGGCCCACTTCTAGCAGCTGATCTGGAGGTGTGAATTCCAAGAGAATAGAAGCTGCTTTTGTAGTTAGCAAGCCATTCACAGTCTTTGTTTAATCCAGAGTTGATTGTGTCAAACTTAAAGATGAACTGTAGCTCAGCAGTTTCTCTTTGAAGTCTGGTCCTGACGTTTTTTTGCTTCAGGATGGCTACCTTTAGATCTGCAATTGTGTGTCCAGGAAGATTGAAGTATTCCTCTACAGGTTTTTGTATGTTTCCATTCCTAATATCTGATTCGTGTCCATTGATTCTTTTACGTAGGGACTGTCCAGTTTGGCCGATGTATATAGCAGTGGGGCATTGTTGGCATATGATGGCATATATTACATTAGTAGATGTGCAGGAGAATGAACCAGTGACAGTATGGCTGATCTGGTTATGTCCTGTGATGGTGTTGCTGATTCTGGCCTGCATATTTATACCTGCCTCTGGAAATTTCCACTACATCCATCTGACGAAGTGGGTCTTTGCCCACGAAAGCTTATGCTCCAACACTTCAGTTAGTCTATAAGGTTCCACAGGACTCCTCGCCGCTTTTGCAGATTCAGACTAACACGGCTACCCCTCTGATACTTTTCCCCATAGGACAACTCTATCTTCTCTTGCCTGAAGAACTTTTCCATTGTTAATTAGTCCTTCACTGACCTGACTTGGAATGTTACTTGATACAGTTTATTATCTCCAAATTAATGTATGTATTTAAATGAAACATATTTTCATTAAGTCTGTGATCCTTAATAACCCCAGTCCATAGCAAATATGGTGACTTGCTATAGGTTAGTCTGTCACATGCTGTATATCTAATCTTGGTGTTCTCTACATATTTGGATTAATTTTTAAGATAATGAAAACTGGGCAGATTCCTGGAGAGGGTGATTCTTGGTGTGATGTATTAGATATACAGTATTAGGCATCCCTGTCTTATTTGGAGGCTGATCCAGTTTTATTAAAAGCTGCAAAGTCCAAATATTGGAGTAGTGATAGAGCCAATCTGAATAAATGATTCAAGTTTTCATCCATCACTACATACATTTGTTATATTCCTCTACAATTCACTCAAGCAGTCTGTTTTTAAAGGATTCCATTATTTGGAAATCCTTTTATTTTTAATATGCAGTTGAATAACACATCAAAATAGATTTCAGATATTGTGATACATAGCCATTTTCTTACGGACACCAACATCTATCCTTCATATAATTCCAGAAGTTATTTTATTATCATTAAATATCCAAAAGAAAGAAATAGAAGTTCAAAATAATAAAGAATTACTAATGCCCAGACTATACATTACTTTGTCAGTATTGCATGAAGCTGCTGCTTTTCCTTGCTTTCCAAGGATGATCTTCTGTCAGCTGCGGGGTGCACCCACTCTCACAACTAAATTGTATATTTTCAGCTCTTTATCATTTAGAATAGATTATAAAGTCTTCAGTGCAGAAATGAGGAGAAAATTTTCAGCGTGTGTAAATTGCCATTGAATGATTGAAGCAAAGGACTTGCAGAAACCTCCAGAGATCATCTAGTCCAGTCCCCTTTGCTCATGGAAGGACAAAGTATTTTCTAAATCATCCCTGACAGGTGTTTGTCTAACATGCTTTTGAAAATCTCCAATAATGGAGATTCCACAACCACCGTAGGCAATGTATTTCAGTGTTTACTCACCTTGCTAGTAAAGAATTTTCCCTGATGTCCAACCTAAACTTCCCTTGCTGCAATGTAAGCCCATTATTTCTGAGGATAGGAAAAGAATCAAAGGGACAACAATTTTTCTCCTTATTTGTAACAACTTTTTATGTACTTTTAAAAATGGTATCATGTCTTCTCTTTTTTTCCAGATTAAACAAACCCAGCTTTTTCTATTTTCCCTCTTGGTTCATGTTTTTTAGACATTTAATTGCATTTGTTGCTTCTCTCTGGACTTTTTCCAATTTGTCCACCCACGTGTTTCCCAAAATTGGATTCAATACCCCAGTTGAGACTTAACCAGCATGGAGTACAGCAGAATGACTTTTGTCTTTTCTTGT